TGTCTCATCTTCTAGAATGTATGGGATTATGTGGCACACTTGGTTGGCAATGTAATATAGTTCGGTGTTGGGGGTTCCCCATCCTCCTTCTGAGGTGGGGAGGTGCAGGTGTTTGGGGCTTATTCTTGGCTTTTTGTGTGAGAAGATAAACGAGTGTAGTTTTTTCTGCCACTTGCGGCATTGGGTTGGTAGAATCCAGATTGGAAGGGTTTGAAATAAGTAGGTTAATTTTGGAAGGTTGATCATCTTGATCATGGCTATTTTAGCTGAGAGAGTGAAGTTAGGATTACTCCATTTCTTCAGGTCTTTGTGAATTTGTCACCATAGGGTTTCTAATCGTGGTGGTATAGTTTGTTGAGGTTTCTGGTTATTTGTACCCTAGGTATCTACTGGATACGGCAGAGTTTTATCTTTGTGATGTGGGTGAATTCTTTTTGGAAGGCGAGTGTTGAAGCACATAGCCTCAAATTTTGCAAAGTTTACTTGTAGGCCCAAGGGACAGAGCATATTCGGAAGCATATCTCTGAAGTCCTGTTTCTAATATTAACCTCTGAAGGAGGGACTTCTCAATGCAGGAAGTTCATCATGTTCCAGAGATTTTGAACATGCAGATCATTCTGGATAAGCAAGGAAATTCCAGCTTAGGATATTACATTACAACTACAGGTAACAAACAGTGAGCAAGTCATGCTTCTTTAAATCCCTACTTCCTCAGTGTCTAAACTGGCTTACTGAATATTAAATATGATCCCTAAAGGAGTTTTTCTCTGTGATTTGCCTACTGTATAAATCATGTGTTTAGAAGCAGCAGCACATTTCTAAACATTAATTTGTTAAGATGATCAAATAAGAAAGCATAATGGTCAATGTTAAAACAGGAAGTCATCAATGTAAATATACTGTCAAAAGAACTGGAATTCTATATCTTCTTGGCAGCATGCAAACCAATGGAAAAAAGCCACAATCTTACACTGGGCATTTGGTACCACCCACTCTGGAATATACCTGTAATTTAAAAAATCACACCTAATTTGAAATTTTGACAAGGACTAGAACCTCCAGAGACTTTTTAAATGTTTTTGCATTTCTTTATGACATAAGCAGCTGACCATCATTTTCAAGACAACTCTCTTCACAAGCCTGGCAAAATTGGAACTATACTTGATGATTCAATAAAGTTGACAGTCTTTACATAGACTTTGTTATTCTAACTCATATGCAACTACTTGTTCTACATGCCTATTTTATAGCTTTGTTTTTCATCTTTTAATTTATGTCTGTAGTTATAATTGTTATATATGTTTTATATATATTATAAAATGAAATAATAATAATAAACTTTACCCCCAAAAAAGGGAAGCCATAGAATAGAGAAGCTATAAAAATTCTCAAGTTTTTAACATACTTTAAGGGTATGGATAAATGTACATTGCTTTTCACATAAGCAAGTAATATTACCAAAAATTATGGATCTGATTCCTTGGTTTGCAAATTAAGTTACATGTGTTTTTCTTCTTAATGGGTTGGATAAATAATCTGTACAATGCTATTTTTAAAAATGCCATATATAAAGAAAAATATTTGCTTAAAAAGCTTCAAATTTGGAAAATGTACAGTATACCTCCCACAAGTCAATATCACTAACAGCTGTTGCAGAATCTTCTTGGCTCTTGCATAGTTTTAGGCAAAAGGGTTTTGGAACTACTAATCAGCATTCATACAACATTTCAGATTGAAAAATGCTCTGTGGTCTTCAAGATTGCCCTTCAAGGTACCACTATCACTATTATCACCATATTAAAGATAGGTAACCATATCTGAGAAACAGGCCACCCAATGCATATATAGTAAAGAGAGGAAAGAATGTTGACCTTTAAATTCCTAAACAGCCTACGACCTGGATACTTTAAGAACTGCTTCATCAATAGGAATCTACCTAAATAATGAAATCAGCATTGCATGCCAAGGATCCCATTCAGGTGCATGCAAAGGTATGGGCTTCTGAATTCACATATCCCCATCAACAGTTGCACTCTCCTAGCTTCACCACCACCACCACACATCAGAAATGTCAAAAAGAAAGACCACGTATTTTGACAAGACAGCACTAAATCCCTCTTTCAATAAATGCATAATTTTGCATTAAGCACAGAAAATTGATTTTCCTACTGCTAGAAACGAATGAACACCTAGGCTTCATTTGTCTCTTTAACGAGAAGTGTAACTCTTGTTTGAGTTAGCTTTCTGTCTTTCTTCTTCTGTGAAAGGATTAAGTCTACAGTGAGTCAACTCTTTTAAAAAGCTAATCTGAGATCTAAGAAGGTGCCTTACATTGAGTTAGACCATTAGTCCAGTGTTTCCCAACCGGTGTTCCGCGGCACACTAGTGTGCCGCCAGGCGTTGCCTGGTGTGCCGTGGGAGGGAGGCGGGCGAGTCGGCGGCGAGAGGCGGGGCGGCGGCGGCGAGGAGAGGCCGCCCAGCGCGGGGCTCTCGCCGTCTGCCTGCCTGGCTGCCTGCCTGACGCGCAAACCCCCGGCGCAGGCGCCCCGCTTGTTGACACGGGAGGGGAGGGGGGAGAGGAAACGCTGCTGGTGCCGCTGCTCCTCGGCGGCGGCTCCTCCTCTCAGCCCGCCCTGCCTATATTTGCGCCAATCCCCGTCCACTAAAGCATTCGCGCCTCCCAATGGGAAGCCTTGCCGGGCGGCGGGCGCTGCTGCCTGAGAGTTCTGAAGCCACGCCCACTTTCCCAGAGACTGGCGGTTCTGAGGGATCCAGGGCAGGGCCGGCGCGCGCCGCTTCTTGCTGCCCGGGCGCTTGCTCTAATCCCGCCTTCCCTGGGAGGGAGGGACGGCGGTGGCCGCGAGCGTCCGGGGTGGGGCGCGCGCTGGCTCTCCCTGGCGGCCCCCGTGCCTGGCGTTCTATCAGTGCGCCTCCTCTCTCTTTCCCCACCCATCCTCCACGTGCTGCGCTCTAACCCGGAGTTAGAAGTGAATTAGAACACGCCCCCCGTGTGTGGTGTGGTTTTTTTTGCTGCTCCTCTTTTTTTAGGGCTTTTTGGCGGCTTTTGGGACGGCGTCGAGGGGTGGCGCCCACGCTCCTTGTGCGCCCGCCCCGGAGGCTCGCCCGCGCGGTAGTGCTAGAGGAGGAGAGAGGTGGGCATGGCGGCTGTTTTGGAGCTGTTGCTGCAGGACGAAGTGGCAGCCAGCGCTGTCGTGCGGTGGCTGAAGGCGAGCCAGAGCCCCTGCGCCGTGGAGGTAAAACGCGCAGCGCCGCCCTTGCTTCACCCAGCCCTCGGTTCGAGCAGGAAGTATCCGGGAAAACGGAGTTGATGCCGGCCTTCAAAACTCTGCGCTCCAAAAGGGAGGCGGGAGGGGGAAAAAACAGGTCGACCACTTGAGGTTTCCTCCTCTGGCGGGATGCTAAGTGGGAAGCTGCAGCCTTCAGGCCTGCGCTATGTGAACTCCTGAAGGGCTCTTGCGGTAGCTTTTCGGGAGCCCAGGTGTATATATGTGCCCCCCTGAGGGAGCCCTTCACTGAACCTGAGAACCCTGCTGTGGAGTTGGTGGGACTGAGTTGCTGTGCGCCCTTACGAATCCTTCCCAAATGCAGCTTTAATGATTCAGAAACAAGACCTACAGAATTCGTTGGAAGTTACTATTTTTTTATTTTTTTTTACATAAGTAAAAAGTGACCTTTCCCCATCTGGCATGGTGGTGTGCCTCGAGATTTTTTTCATGAAACTAGTGTGCCTTTGCCCAAAAAAGGTTGGGAAACACTGCATTAGTCCATCGAACTGGCAGTATCTCTCCAGGGATTCAGACAAGTGTCTTTACCAGCCCTACATGGAGATGTAAGAGAATTAACTCCGGGCTTTCTGCATGCAAAGCATATGTTCTTCCACTGAGCTATGACACCGACACATGTACTTTTGTGAACTTTTCATATTAGTGAAGGATACAAAAAGAAATAGAAAGAAAGAAATGGGGAAGTACAAACACTAACAGGTTTATTGTTGCAGATTAACTTCTCATGGACTACAGTACCACTTCATCAGTTGCATGAAGCTACACATATGATAGAGCAGGTTTAATCTGTGATAGTTTGTTCTGGTTTTGGAAATTTCAATTGGCCCAGAATTTGACAGCTAGGTTAACATTTGGTGTTGGCTGCAGGAAGTGCATAAAACAAGTATTATGTGAGCCTTGCTGCTTGCTCATTTGTTTCCAGGCTAAATTCAAGGTCCTAGAGCTCACCTTTAAAGCCCTTAAACAGGTCTAACTCCAGGGTACTTGAGAGAGCTGGTTCACTTATGTTCCTTCCATTGCAATTTGGGAACGAACACCTGTTGAAAATCCTACCATTTATCAGGCTGATGACCACGATCAAACGTTCAGTGTAGACCCAAATTATGGAACCATAATTACAAATGCACAGTTTTGCCCATTCCTCACAATAACCATATTATAAACAAGATTAACCCTCACCCTCCTGGAGTTGGAAATCTGTGCTAAATTTTTAAAATGTTAGGAGCAGGAACTGCAACTTAACCGCTAACCATTAGCATGAGAGTAAACGTGAAAAGCTTTTATACAGAAGTGTGTATATTGCTGGGAGCTTCACGCATTGGAGGACAGAGAGTGCTAAGGCTGTTCAAAAAATGAAAACAACATTAAACTAACAGCAAAAAAAAATCCCAGATTAAAAAACAAACAAATAAACAATGCAGGCAGGCAGGCACTTTCAATAGCTTTTGGTGAAGTCAGTTAAAAGCATCATTTTCCCCTTAAGCAAGATGCGTTGAAAGAAGAATTCATCAAACCCTTATAGGTCCTGCACATCACATAAAAGGTCCATGTGCAGAGTGTGTGTCTGTGTGCACGCTCTCTCTCTCTCTCTCTCTCTCTCTCTCTCTCTCACACACACACACACACACACACACGCACACTTCCCATCACAGCAAATAACTAGGAGCATATAAGACCTTGCTGTGTTAAACATACCTCTTGTACTGAACGAGCTGCTGGCTTGTCCTGATGATTGGCCAATATTAAAAATGGCAAAGTGCATAACTGTGGATGCTGAAGCGCAGAGTGCAGTTCATTTCTAGCAATTTCTAAATCATCTTCTGAAGAGGCACTGTCTAATACAAATATTACTCCTTGGGATCCTTGGTAGTAACGACTCCAGTACTTCCTAATATTGTCAGCTCCTTTAATGATAATTAAAAACAAAACAAAAACAGAAAGGTTGTCAGACCAAAAAGAACAATAAGATTAAGTACTCATTTAAATAATTAACTATTTTATGCTATGAACCGCCCTGAGGTCTTCAGATAAAGGGTGGTATGCAAATTTAACAATTAATAACTAATTCCACAGCTTGTATATAAAAATAAGCGAAGTCAATCTCTGCTCCTACTCATGTTCATATTTTAACCTTTTACACGCTCAGTAAAGTGTTATCAACTTAATGGGACATATTTTGGTCTTTAAAACATGGCCAATCTTCTCTGTTCCTAATACCAATATGGCTACTGCTTTCTGGCTTTACTTTTGCCATTTTAATTGTTACCTGTTTTGTGAATTTTTTAAAAGTTGGATAAAAATATGTAAATAATAAAAATTCTTTACTTTCATCACAATACCTTCATCTCTCTGTAGTACACTCATCCTAATATCTCTCTGCTCTATTTAATGGCTTCACTTCCCAATTTACAAATATTATTGGTTTTTTTAAACACTTTTAATTCTCTTTTTAAGGAACGCGGGTGGCACTGTGGGTTAAACCACAGAGCCTAGGACTTGCCGATCAGAAGGTCGGCGGTTCGAATCCCCGCGACGGGGTGAGCTCTCGTTGCTCGGTTCCTGCTCCTGTCAACCTAGCAGTTCAAAAGCACGTCAAAGTGCAAGTAGATAAATAGGTACCACTCCAGCGGGAAGGTAAACGGCGTTTCCATGCGCTGCTCTGGTTTGCCAGAAGCGGCTTAGTCATGCTGGCCACATGACCCGGAAGCTGTACGCCGACTCCCTCGGCCAATAAAGCGAGATGAGCGCTGCAACCCCAGAGTCGGTCACGACTGGACCTAATGGTCAGGGGTCCCTTTGCCTTTACCTAACTCTCTTCTGGACTGGTCCCTGCCTTCCTTACCAGACACTCCACTACTATAATCATAATTCCTGCCAGAGGTCTTCACAGATCCAATGCCACCTACCACTTAATATTTTTTTCAAATGGCATTTAACCCTTCGTACAGCTCCTTTAAAGGCTACTTATTCTGCAGAGCCCCTTTTTATCCTGACTGCAAGAACTTCAGCTGATCTAGAGAGAATAGAACTTGCAAATCATCATCATCCAATAGCAGTTTATCAACCCTAGGACTAAAAAGGGTAAGTGAATTTGCCTTTTGTTTTTCCATTCATTTTTACTTTCCCCTGAAACATCTCCAGCTGTCTGTTACTCAGATAATGAACTGACAGGACAATTTGTCTGTTCCAACTCAGAAATTTTGCCCTTATGCAACTGCTAAGCACCATATTGGGCACTAACCCAATGTCCTCATAGAAGGCTGTCAGCGTCCGGCAAAAATAAAAGCAGACTGCAAGCCTTACATAAATGAGAGTTCTGTTTAAATAAAACAGTAACTTTTTCTGCAAAGGAAAAAAGAGAAGAGTCATGTTTCTCAAGCAATCTTTTTCATTTGCAATTTATGTCAGCATTTAACAGATAGGTTAGCAGCTGACCAATTTAATCCCATGCAGTGAGTCTCCTCAAAATGTAAAATTGAAAATAAAGTTTTTGATTTTTCTGGAGCCACACTCAATGCATAAAAGAGATCATTAACATGTTGATCAATAGGGTGATCAGAAACCAACATGCTAGACTTTCATATAGGTAAATATATCCTTATTAAATAAGTTAAAGATTTGCCTTTTGTAATAGCCACAGAACTAAAGTTGCTTTGGAATTGTATACAGCAAACATATTTTGCCAGAGACTTAATATGTCCTAATTTCTATCAATATACAAGATTCTACTCGCCTCTCCCTTCCTATTTAGAGTTTCCTTTCAGATTTCCATTCATAAGCAACTCAGTCTTGGGAAAATTACCAGATTTCGAACCAGTATCACATCCAATACTTCAGACACAGTTCATAGAAGATTCTCAGTTCAGGAATAGGCAGATACTACTAGCAAACTAAACAGCTCGTTGTTGTTTTTTCCTTTGGTACCCAATAAGCTTTCTTGAGTTGTTCCATGAGTATATGGATGAAATAAATAAATAAATACTTAGACAGCAGCCTTGGACAGCTTCCTCCTTTATCTGAGGCCACTGGCGGCCATGATTATTATGTTCTACCACCACTGTCAGAGACAGTATGCTGGGCCATTGGCCACTTGAGCAATATCGCCAAATGGGAAGCATTTCATCATTAGCTACTTTTAATAGCAATACTTCCATTAAAGGGGCATCACCAAACAGAATTGTTTTCTGTAAAAAAAAATGGATACAGTGGTACCTCGGTTTTCAAGCGCCTCGGAAGCCTAACATTTCGGAAGCCGAACGCCGAAAACCCAGAAGTAATTGCTTCCATTTCTGAACGCGCCTTGGAAGTCGAACGGCTTCCACTGCGTTTCCCCCCTCTTTTTTCTCCATTGACTTTGCCAGCCTTCCTTTGCGCCTCAGTTGTCGAACATTTCGGAAGTCGAACGGTCTTCCAGAATGGATTGCATTCAACAACTGAGGTACCAGGGTATGGAGATTTAATAATTGTGGATTAGTATCTTGGCTAGAGTCTGCTTAGTAGATGTAAGTAATTGCAGCTGTAATAAATTGCAGTTTTAGTGTGGTAGCCCCTACACTTGGGAACTCCCTGTCTATTGGCATCAGGCAGGCATCTTCACTGTACCACTTTTGGGGTGCTTAAAACATTTTTGTTTAACTAAGCCTATCCAGGCTCATATGTGTTGACATGTTTTAGTCTTTTTTTTACTGTTATTTTAAATTATGTTTAAGTGTTTTTTATTGTTTTTTACTGTTTTTAATTGATCATTTTAATACAGTGGTACCTCGGGTTACATACGCTTCAGGTTACAGACTCCGCTAACCCAGAAATAGTGCTTCAGGTTAAGAACTTTGCTTCAGGATAAGAACAGAAATCGGGCTCCAGCGGTGCGGCAGGCCCCATTAGCTAAAGTGGTGCTTCAGGTTAAGAACAGTTTCAGGTTAAGGACGGATCTCCGGAACAAATTAAGAGGTTAAGAACAGTTTCAGGTTAAGGACGGATCTCCGGAACGTATTAAGTACTTAACCTGAGGTAACACTGTACTTATAGGTTTTACTACACTCAAGCAGTATCTGCGTTTTGTTAAATGAAGTAAAATAACTATCTCTTCAATGTGTACTTCAATACAGTAGCCTAAACTGATAATACCATTCATATGAATTAGGAGGTTCTCAGGTTTTTTGCTATTCAGGGATCTGTCTTGGCTAAAGTTTCAAAAATTCTCATTCCTTACACTGGGTGCACACTCTTTCAAGATACCACATTCCCAGCATTTGTATGGATATTATTTTTAATGCTTTACTAGTCCTACTTCTGAACCAGTGTCAGTGGTGCTATCATCCATCTCTGCACAATACATGACATAAGACAGAAGTAAAAGCCAGATCACTATTGCAGGCCATGTTCAACTAAAGAGTCCCACTAGCAGAAGCCAGCAGAAAGTCTTCTGCTAGCACAACATGAATCCCCCCTCCTCCCCGCTTTGACTGGGAGAACCCTCAGAATAGCATGCTGGGGGAGGGAGAGGGTTGTTCCATCTGGCAAGCTGAAATGCTTGCGCTGACAGAACTGCCATAATGCTACGTTGAATTCCTCCCTTTAAGTAGATACATAAATTATGGGAGTTGTGCACTGCAAAGTAGAAATGCAAGCTCTGCACCTCAGCTGCTATTCTGAATTTCCCTTGCTTTCATCCTGCATCATGTCCACTCTAGATTGTACTCCTTTAAGCTTATGCTTAGTATCTAGCGGTCACAGGTGCTTGTTAAGTATTAAATAAAGTATTATTTATTATCATTAAGCGAGAGAGACCAAGAAATGGAAAACTACCAGTCAGATATTCAGTTGATTAATAGTGTTATACCTCCAAGCTCTTTTACATTCAAGATGGCATTCTGGAATGGCACTGCTTTTATGCTAAAACCTGAAATCAGAACAAAAAAAGTTAGTAATTTTTGCAGTGCAGAGACTATCCAAAGCAGTATGCTTGTTAATAGTAGTAGTACTCCTCTCTGCTTTGGGCCTTCAACCTCTTGTGATCTTTAAGTGCCTGGGCAAGGTTTCAAAAGTTATCTTCTCCCTAATCCCTTCCCTAATCCCAGGCCCTTCCCTTTCCTCCATTCCTCCGAGAATCATTTTGCTGCCAAAAATATTTAGAATTACTTCAAAACATGAATCATAGAAGCAGGATAGTTATATAAAATAAAACAGTGTAACAGTATTTTGCATAATTTTGACAGAATTAGGGACATATTTTTATTTTTTTATTTCTGGAAAGGAAGCAAGGGAGACACACACTTCCAAATTCTGTTTTCCATATTCTATTTTAGCTTATTGTAAAGTTTATCCTTATTCCATCCAGATAATAGGTACAATAGCAGTGGATTCAAAAGGCTGATGGAAGATTATCAGTTGCTTTCCAATTCTGTTTATCTCTCCGCATTCTTTCAATTCATACCACTCTGTGAAATCAAATTAATCTCTCTGTAATGAGAAATTGTACAAACTGATATCTAAATGCAAAATTCAGAGCCTCCCAAACTCAAAAATAATTTATCATTACATATTTTCAGAGACACCTCGGGCACAAAGTTTTTTTTAGGATTAGAACTGGATATACATTTCAGTAAACCTGAAGCAGTGAGTGGGTTAAGGGTGTGGCAGAAGACAAAGGATGGAAAGGTGCCAATCTAGAAACAGCTGCTCCAGGCGAGGTAGGAACAGTTCCTTAAACTGGAGCAGCTGGACTTCTCTAAAAAGGTATCTACAGGAGGACAATCCAGTAAACACTGCTTCCTCACATTCCTTTAGTCCATTCACCTGCTACCCAGTACCTAGGATCAGGGCCAAATGACCCAGTCTACAGTGATGCTTTCCCAGTTTCCCTGGAACCCTTCAGCTGCAGTGCAGACTACATGTACAGGCCTCTGCAGTAGTCAAGTTTTTCTTTAGGACAAGTTTACTACCCATATGGGAAGAGAGAGTAGTCAGTGATGTGTAGGGGACCTCACTGCTGGCTCTGAGTAACACTAGATGACTCTTGGGGTCCCTTCCAACTCTATGAGTCTATGGGATAGATTTGACCCACTCCTTGTGCTTCCATACCTAACCCTCCAGAAATCATTAAAATTAAGCAGCTTTGGTTACTTATTTCAATTGTTTTGAGTGAATCCCTTTAGTTTGCAAATGCATCCAAAGTTGCATCTTCTCCTGGGTATGAGTATACAAGGCAACATAATCAATTACCTACCAATTGCATTTTTATTGCTCACTGCCACAGTGCACATTTCACACAGTAAACGGTAAGAATGCAGAGGTTAGACTCAAATCCTGCCTAGGCTATTTTCTTCTTCTCCAAAACATTTATATTGATTTTTCAACATTAATAAAGTAAATCAAAATAAACAAAGACAGAATTTATATGTCAGTACACATAAGCTCCAGCGTTCAAAACTCCCATTGTTTTAGGCACATTTTGCGAAGGGGGATTTCATTAATGTGAGCAGTTTCTGAGCTCTGGGAGCAGTACTGTGCCTAAGATTTCAGATTAAAACTGCCACTGCTGGAACAACAGTAGACCTTTTTCTGCCTCCTCACTTCCAGCTCTGAGGACTGGAGAAGAGACCCTCTTAAGAATATTAGGGGGGCAGGCAGGGGAAGTATGGCTTTTTCTTTTGGAGACTTCAGAGACGGACTAGACCATGTGAAAAATTAATATAAGATTTTAGCTGCAGTTTGTTCATTTTCAGCTTTGTATTCTTGTTATAAAAATGTGTGCCTAGACATTCCGTTGTGGCGGCCATAACCCAGGTTTAAGGTGCCATTCAGCTCCTAGCTTTCATATCTCAGTTTCTAACACTGTCTAAGATGTTCTGATAAGCACAATACTTTTCTGTATTGTACATATGTAGGACACTGAACATATTACACATATTATGTATCCATCTTGCAGCCCCTCCATAGATGAGCATGTGTGTCCAGTGGTTTCATCTTATTTGTCCTTCCCAGTCAATTTCTGCAAATGTGAATAAAAAAACCCTACTGTGTGTAAAGTAAGCTCCCTATTTTAAAGGATTGGTTAAAATATACAATACTCAGTCTGCACTCCCTGCATTTGTACTGGATCATATAGACAGAAGGGTGTCATCAACCTTCTTCAGTGATAAGCATTCTTAAAACACAATATGAAAACATACTAAAATTCCTACAGCAGCTACTAATAAACTGAAGAGCTTCTTTAGTATGAAATCTGTCTTGGGCTCAAACTACACATGATGTTGGAGCTCCATGTCTTTCTTTCTTTCGTTCTGAAAAACCAGCAGTGTCTTGTGCATGACTGGATCAGGACCACAGCAGAGCTAAGTCCAAGTAACCCCCCCCCAAGAAACACTGCTATATACTCCAAAAAGGAAATTAAAAGGCTTAAAAGCTTAAAGTTCTCAGGTTTCCCCCTTCACAGCTTATCACAACCTGGAATGGAGAGGATTTAATTGGGACCAAAGAAGAGAGATAAAGGCTTTGAGCTTCTCCTCTTGTACTATTGCCCAAAAACAAACAGCTGTTTTCACATTAAAAACACCTAATGAACCCCAGCAACGAAAGCCCTGCACAAAGATTTCTGCTTGTGCAATGGGGCTTTCCTCCCATCTCCACCTGTACACCTCCAGCGAACCTTGAAATCAGCTTGCAAGGAAGAATCCCCAGAACATTGCAAGGGGGGAGGTGAACAGGGATTGATTCACTTGACAAGCTGATATGCTTGTGCAGATGAAACATTTGTAATAGCATGATGTTGAATTCCACATGATGTGTAGTTTGGCCATTCATATTTCAGGTTTAATGCAAAGAAATAGAGATGTTTCACCGAACAGCAAGTTCAAATATAATAGGTAGATAATATCCTTGAGTTGTTATTTAAGGGGCATGCTGAGAAATGCAAAATAAACAGCATAGTAAGCCAAATGCTGGACTCCCAGCACAGCCAATAATTTGGGATAATGGCAGTTGTAGTCTAACAAGATCTGGCCTCCTGGTATACAGTAAATATATCCTGCCTATATACCTGATCACTACAGCTTCACATCTGAATTATTATTTATTAAAGGACACAACAAGCTGCAGCTAAATGGATAGACACTAAATACTCAAATGAGCAACTTTCATATTATTTGCACAAAATTACAATTCAGATATTTACCCAAATGGAAGATGTTAAGCATTCTTTAAAGACACACTTTAATTTGGTTTGAAATAAGCCAAATAGTTTTGCCACAATTTTGAAAGATAGATCTAGTTTAAGAAGTTACATAAAGAATTAGTTTACCTGTCGTCGATACTATATTATCTCTATTTTCACTGCAGAGCTGAGACAGTAGACTAGTCTTGCCAGAGCCAGTGAGACCTATGCAAACCAAGTCATACTCTGGTCGTGGTGGTGGAGGCCCTTTGCAGCAAAGTGCTCGAAAACACTGTTGAGGAAAGCATAAAGAGGATTTAATATTTAATACCACACAATTTTAATATTAATAATTTTTTAAAAAAATGTCCAAGAAAGAAGACAAACAGAACTTTGGTAAAAGTCAATGGGATTACTATGTTGAATCAAGATTACTACAGATGAATTGGGCCTAAAGCACACCCTGTTTTTGCCATATCATTGCATTCAAAGAATTGTTCCAGGTACATTTCAGTATGTTTCTCAAAAGGATTCTAGCCACTACATTTCACTACACACATAAGACTGCATTCTTAAATATGTCACTCTCTTTAAAGAAGACTAGGATCATTGCTTGTTGCCCAGCCAACATATTTCTTATTAGACTAGGAAAACAAGTAATCCATTTACTTAATCAATATCACACGACTAGCTAATCACAAAATGCACTACTCCATTTGATAAATTATACTGTATGTCCTTTCACAGAGCCAACAACTTAATGAAGGAAGCCCTTCCTGCCTCTTTTGAATTCCTTCCTCAAGTATGCCAAATCACACAACAGTCTTGAATGACCTAGTTCCCTCCTATTTTAATCTTTTGTTATGGTTGTCTCAAGTGAGAATAACTATCAACCATCTTCATATTTCCCATTTATATAGAAACTAAAGGCAAGATGCTGAATTCAAGACACTAAACCTCAGATATACGTTACATCATACAAAGAAACAATGAAAGCATAAAAGTTGCTGTAAAGATACAATCTCCAGTTGATATATTAAAAAGCAGAGACATCACCTTGCCGACAAAGGTCCGTGTAGTTAAAGCTATGGTTTCCCCAGTAGTGATGTATGGAAGTGAGAGCTGGACCATAAAGAAGGCTTGATCGCCGAAGAATTGATGGTTTTGAATTATAGTGCTAGAGGAGACTCCTGAGAGTCCCATGGACTGCAAGAAGATCAAACCTATCCATTCTTAAGGATATCAGCCCTGAGTGCTCACTGGAAGGACATATTCTGAAGCTGAGGCTCCAATACTTTGGCTGCCTCATGAGAAGAGAAGACTCCCTGGAAAAGCCCCTGATGTTGGGAAAGATGGAGGGCACAAGGAGAAGGGGACGACAGAGGACGAGATGGTTGGACAATGTTCTCAAAGCTACTAACATGAGGTTGACCAAACTGTGGGAGGCAGTGGAAGACAGGAGTGCCTGGCGTGCTCTAGTCCACGGGGTCACGAAGAGTCGGACACAACTAAACGACACAACAACAACAACAGTGTTAAAACTTAAGGGGACTATTTGAAGGTTCATTCCATACTATCACCAGGTCCTAGAGGCAAAACTTTGCTTAAGTTACATTTATGCATAATTTTGTACCTACAGCTAAATCAGTGATATTAAATATTGTGAGACGAAGTTCAGAGCCCTAACTTCCCTTTGCTGGTAGCAAGACTAGAACAAGAACACCAGTGCAAGAGTGAAGACTCTTACACAGCAGAACAGTAATATAGAAAAATATGATCCCTTGCACTAATGGCCACATTAACAAAACAAATTTGTGCCTATAATGGGGAAGGTGACTCAGACTCATTTATAGATGACTGGCATTCTATTCATTTCTGATAATCAGCCATTGGTTAAAAGTTTCCTGAGGTGATAGATAGATAGATAGATGTGGTCAGATATATTTATGGCATAGTTGTTTTTTTGTATAATTCAGCACCATTCCAGTGATGTACTGATATGGTATTCTCCCTACCATGCTTCAGTTCTTTCAGTATATAGTTTTATTTCTTTAAAAATTATATCATTTCCCACTTTTCAATAAAAAACTATTTTAAAAAAAAGATTACTATATTAATAGCAATGTATTTGTGTGTATTATTCCTTTGCAATATCTTAAAAGCCATTGGTCAGCTGAAAAACAAAACCTCATTTTTCCTATGGGACGTATTATTTTTCCTTCTAAGACTATGTCAAATTTTTTTATATAGATTTCAAAAGGCAAATAAATTCTTAACACATCAGGAGCCAAAGGTGGTAAGAATACCTCAAGAACCTGCTGCTGGAGTTTATAGTGCTTTAGAGAAAAGTTTCTGAACATTAAACTGCAGTTATATAAAGGTTGTACCTTCATACTTAACAGATCTGCACCTGTGTTTATACAACACAGTATTTCTTAGCTTAATCACTACAGTTGATTTGTTATTGTAGTTAGAACCAGACAGTAAATATAGCTACGGGACAATAAACTGCATTTTTTTAAACGCCTCAACTTGTTACCTAGATTCATTATATAGAGCAGGGCCTTGCCATTAGAACAGAGCTTCATACAACCTGTCAGCTGGTGAACAGAGCTGAAGATTACTTCCCACGTTACAGATCATGGGTTGTATCCAACTAAGTTCAGCTCAGAGTCAATCGACTGAAATTAACATAAGTAGAAGAGGGCTATTGCAGACCTCCCATAAGCATCTGGTTGGCTACTGACTAAACAGAATGCTAGGTTAGATGGGTTCTTGGCCTGGTCCAGCAAGGCTCTTTCTATGGTTCTCCTTTCTTTATATTAGTAATTAGTCTGTACAATGAAACATGTATTATTTATTTTTACATTTCATCCCCAAAACATTTATTAAAAGAGTGTGTGATAGGTAGCGTACAGTGGGCTCAAGCCCCTGCTGCAAGGTATGTGGCAGGATTATACTTATCATCATTATATTAAATGGCATCTCACTTTTCCGTGTATAAGATGCCCCTATTTTGGGGGACTAAAATTAAAGAAAATGGGAGGAGATGGCCCAAAGGTATTGAGGTCTTTTGGGGGAGAATTGACCAGAGTTGTTGAGCTTTTTTGGGGGGGTTGTTAAGCAATTATTGGTGGGGAACAACGAAGATCACTCACCCAACTGGCAAACGCTAACAAGTCAAACTGCAGAAGCGGCAGCCAGTCCAAAGCAGCCCTTTACGCATCCACAAATAACACACACAATTGACAAAGCAGCAGCCAATCCAAAACAGCCCTTGCAGCAGACACCATTCACCCACCCAACTGCTAGATCCTACTCGCGGATGCAACCAATCGCTCGTCCCCCCTCTGCACTACCCATGTATAAGATGACCCCCCATTTTTTACTTTATTTTGGAGTAAAAAAAACCCTCGCCTAATACATGGAAAAGAAGAAGAAGAAGAGTTTGGATTTGATATCCCGCCTTTCACTCCCCTTCAGGAGTCTCAAAGCGGCTAACAATCTCCTTTCCCTTCCTCCCCCACAACAAACACTCTGTGAGGTGAGTGGGGCTGAGAGACTTCAGAGAAGTGTGACTGGCCCAAGGTCACCCAGCAGCTGCATGTGGAGGAGCGGAGACGCAAACCCGGTTCCCCAGATTACGAGACTACCGCTCCTAACCACTACACCACACTGGCTCTCGGTATATGTACGGTATATGGCTTTGCAAAAGGTTTGGGTGATTAAGCCCCTATACTTCAGCACTTGCTTTAGCAAAGTACATGTTAACATGCAATATTCCCAAGTACCAAACAAAATCCGCACTGTTATATGATACACAAAATGTTACACATTTCAGCAAATTTTATCCCCATTCTTCCTATATGTAGCCGGAGGAAGCTTGCCTTGGATGATTAATGTAAGGCAGAGGCTTTGATTTAGCTAAGGATCTGAGTCAGCTGGGTCACTTTGGGATTCAAACATCATTTCAGTACAACATGAAGTGAGCAAAAGAATGTGAAAGACAATAGGGAAGGGTGTAGGAAAAAACTGTCTAATATAGAAGACAGTTCCTACCTACAGTTCTGCCTCCATCTATTATTATTTTGTCGCTCCATGTTTTTATATTTCTACAATCTAATAGGCTCTCTCTGAACCATCTTATTCCAAGTGTTTGTCTCCGCACAAGCCAATCGTAGAGAAGGAAGATTAGGATTTCAAATTAACAGCTGAAGAAGGGTCACTAGATTTGTAAGTGGATGCTGTGCTTCATCCTTTGATAGCTCATTAAATCAGGAATGTCATCCCTAGAGCTGGATGTGGTCTGTTCCCACATTCCCTACCTGTTGTAGAAAATGGTTTCAGTAAGTAGGGACATGGGCTGGGCTGGTTGGTGCCTCTTTTTTTCTGAAGTATTAGGAAATTGGGCAATGAATCCTGGGAAAGTTGCACAAACCATTAAATGCTACCTCATCCCACACAAACTACCATACTCCCTAAATCCCAGATTACCAATTACAGAGCCTCAAAAGCTCTTGTAATGAAAACTCAGGAGAAGATAGAAGCAAGCCAAACTAGCAACATTAGAGACAACATTACTTAGACTGAAGAGAGAGAAAACAAACCACTGATGGAAAAACACAAGAAGCCAATGAGGAATATAAATATGGAGAAGCTGAGGAAACAGCTCCCCTTGTCATTTCCTGTTAAAATGAAAGATGGGCGCAGATTATTCAACAATAGCCTGGAGCACAAAGCTGTGCTAAAAGCCATCCTTTTACAGATCTTCAACTAAGCTAGAAAAGCTTCTTCAATATGATTCATGAATAAAGTATGCTACAAGCTTGGCTAACTGAGCCCTGTTTTGTGAGTACCATAGATGTATTGATAAATATTCTACAACTGCCAACTACAACCAACTAAACAAGCATTAATTTGAACACTCACTCTTCCATTGTCTCCCGAGACAGAAGCATGCCAACCAATCATAGGACCATAGAAACCAAGCATTTGAATAACATTTAAAGGGCTACTAACTGTATTTTAAAACTAATTTAGATGCCTCTGCCATCCCAACTTGTTTGTAAAAGGATCAGTTATACACCAAGCCTGTGAAATTCCATTTCACTCAAACCCTTTCTTGTGAGCATAGCCAACACAGGAGCCAAGCAGCAATTTCATACTCACACAAACATTTCATGTAGCCACTATCATGTGCGAATCAGCCTAAGAAATGGTGGCATTCTTTCAGTATGGATTAAGGAAGAGCCTGAGTGTCAATGCTATTTAACTCCTTAATCTACCCCAACA